AATCCCGCATCACCCCTATTGTTCGAGCAACCCCACGCGAGGGTAGTGTGCACACTCTGGGACAAGTGGCATTGTGTGCTCGCCTGGGGGGAGGGAACCAACGGCGCACAGGTGCACGAGCCTGCGTAAAGTGCATAATATAAAAACGTTGAATGGGGAGGGAGGGTGCGAGCGGAGGAAAGCCGTCTCTGAACTAACAGGCCCCTTTCTGTGCGGAGAAATTAGGGCCCCGTTTAGACCGGGGGAGGGGTGGAGATTCGAGGTGGCGAGACTCCTCACATTTTTATTCTCGCCCCGAAATCGTTGATATGCGGCAAAAAAAGGACCGAATGTTGCCCCAGAGGCTGATTTCGTTTTTTCACTGACCGTCTCGAGTTCCTGGCCCTGTTCTTTTTTCTCAGTCGACTCATTTTTTCCTTTGAAGATAAACGTACCATAATTTTAAAGTTTCTATACAGTCTCGGCGATGTTTGTTAAAATTGTCATGACTCGCAATTGATATTTTCTTCTAATTAGAAAATAACGTAATTTTCTTCAATACAATACTGTTCTTCACGACGCAATAAGAGTCTCATCCCCGGCTAGTTGCGAACATAAGAAGATATCCATAAAAACGTGGGCGAACGTTTTCGTGAAACGAGGATTAAACTACGTCGTTAGCCTGGTCAGAGATTGGTCAGCCCGTACTTTCATAAAAGCGAGAAGACAGAGCGCGCGGTGCAGCGGATGACCGGGTACGGCCGCGAGGAAATTATACAGCGGCGATCCGCAACAATGTTCCGTTCGCCAATGATTGTGATCAAGGCTAACACGCTTGCTAAAAGTGAAACCTTCGCTCCTTTTAAAACAACCCAATGGAGCTCAGGGAACAAGGAAGGTAATCCGCCTATAAGATACTCGCGAATGCTGGTATACGCCCTGAGAAATTGAGAATCTCGAAGACGTTATCTTTACGGCGATCTTTACGATGATGTAGCGAAATCGTAAGTTCGAACAGGTGACATCGTTTACTGCGCGTTACACATTTTTATACAGCCTTTTATGCGTCGTAATCGTTATTACAGTATGTTCCGATTAAAACAAATCGCGTATCCACGACGCTCGATTCAATACCTGCATTCTATTCCTATCTGTCATCGATACTTTCTGTCGATGTAATTCACGTTGAACTCAGATTTTACAATCGTATTATTTAATTCATGACGATTACCATGAAATGCAATAGGATTTCTGTCATCGTCTCTCGCATTCCTAAGAACTAGTAGTAGGACATTTTGGATACGCGTTTCGAGGAAAACAAGCTGTGTTATTCCTGGCCGAAGGGGCGCGCGCGAATGCCAGTTAAAGGGAAAAAGAGCAAGCGGTGGTCGCGTCGAACGGAATGCTAATTTTATTTCCACGGAGCCAGGTAAACTATTGTGATTCTGTATAAAAGACGCAAAGGCAATTGGGCCCTGGCGGAAACGGGCCCGATTACCGGCACGTCGCTATTGGCCGAGGCGAAACGAGAGGGGTTTGGGCCCAAGGCTTCCACCACACCTCCGCTATAGTTGCCTAGACGCGATTGGTCGATCGCGAGGATCCTCTCAGGGCCCCCTTTGGTGTTCTTCTACCCCCCTTTTCCCATCAGCCCTTTTACTTCCCCCCTCGGATCTCTCCATACACCGGCCAGGCTATCCCTTCTATTGCCCTCTCCCCTCTGGTCACTTTTCTTTCGATTTGTTTGACTTTGAAACTGTTTGGCCAGGGCTTTGGCCTCGCCTCTGCTCGTTTCGCAGCCTTTCTCTTTCCGTGCGTTCATCATCATTATCCTGCTCGTCATTATTTTCGTGTCTACTACGTTGCTGCCTCGACTCGCGGTACTCCGGTAACGTGACCGTCGTTATTTTCACCGTAATTACCTCGTTTCATCGTGGCCAACCAAGAAAGAAACGTCGTCCCCTCTTTCGACTTTCGACGCGTCGATATATTTCGTCCCATTCAGTTATTGCGCGTCCCGTGTTCACCGCTCGTTAGTTCATGTCGATTGCCCGGGATATTGTAGGTCCTTGACTAAATGTGCTCCACAAGGGAATTCCTAATGATAATAAATATCGAAAAGGAACTCCTGTTATAATTCATAATTACTTCTAACATTTCTTGTATGCACAAGAACAGCATCATGTCACATCCAATTTAATGATAACATTTACTCATAGATTCATTTACATGTTATTATGCTTATACAAAGATAAAAAAAATTCTCTCCTTCCTTAAAATGTAAAGTTACTCGATGAAGTCGATAAATCACAGAGGAATAAAATTAAATTATAAAAAATCTACGGCCATTTCCTCCGCGCATCTGCGCAAGGTTTATGTGCACTTCTCTTTCCAGGAAAACATTTCTCTCACGTACCGCGCGCGACGTCGTTCATCGTCCCATCCCATTTTACTTACGTGCATAATTAGAGCGTCTAATTAGACGGCGCGTACCGCGAGCCGCCGTTACACGCTTTAACACTCCGCCCGAGCGCCGCTACGTGTAATTAGTATTCTTAAGAACGTTATCCGGCTGCGATCGAGCCGTAGTTTTTAGCACTTTATGAATTTGATCTGGCTTCACGTGATTTAAGAGGCACAGGATGGTCTTTAAAGAATGCGCGGTTTCGAGCAAAAAAGCGGTCTCGAGGAAACTGTTAAGACTGGCTAATTGTTTATTTTTGATGATTCTCCGAGGAAGCGTGATAAGAAGTTATTATAATATTTACGCAGTTTCTTGCATTACTTGCATAGGACAGTAATTGGAATTTTATCCGATGGTTCCTTTAGTTTACTTGGAATATACAGTAATTAGTGAGTAAAATACAATGTCTGTATGAAATATTTGAAGCCAGCTGCAAGGAAGAAATCATTAAGTATTTATGATTTAATTGATTGGAGCGACAGGTGGATTGACATGATTGAATATCCATTCGAAAATTGTGCTTTCTTTTGTCGTTCAATCCGGTGGGATACGTGCCCGGTGTATCATTCGAACGTTCGTGGAGAAAATCACAAACTTCCTGATGATCAAAAAACAATTTCACACTTTCGCCAATAATAAGTGGCGTCGAACCGGTGCCGATGCTCGCTGTATCGAAACCCATCGTCGGTCTGATCGATTAGGGTGTCGGCGCAAAATGAGAAGAGATCGAACGGCGAGGCGCGGCGGGCGCTTTCTCTGGCCCGGCCGAAATAGGGCCAGGGGGCACGCGGGCCCCGCATAAAAATTGAACGAACGTCAGGAACAACCGGGATACGCGTTTCGTATTCCGCCAGGAGCGAGGACGACCGAGGAAGCGAAGCGGCGTGGAGAACGAGGAGCCCGCGAGAAAAGACGGGAAAGGAACACGTACGCGGCGGAGGAGCGGGCGTGAGGGAGGAGGGGAGGTGTAGGGAAAAAATTAGCAGCAGCACGTTTCAAGCTGCGGAATAATTCCCGAGGCGCGTGTTACACGCGCTGGCTGGCCCACGGTGTTTCCTTTTTAAAAATTTATGGGCGCAACGACTCTTGCTCGCGGCGGCCGCGAGCTGATTTCGCGCGAGTAAAAGGAAAAAACGCGACGTTCCGGCCACTGGGGACTCGGCCGTATGCATCGTCCACCCGGCAGCGATGAAAAACGAAAGGGAATAAATGTGCGAGATATTGAAGAAAATTGTTCGTGAATTTAGGCGTGGTGTCCGTTTAACTTGAGTATGTGAGTTGTCCCGTTGCCTTGTATTGCGACACGGAGGAGTCGAACGTTCGAGTATTGCAGGTGGATCGACCAGATGAAAGTATAATGCGAGTAATTGTACTGGCTGTCCAATATGCAATTCAATTCGGTAACTTAATGGACCTTACTGAAGGGAACGTATTAAAGAACATAACAAGTTTTCATTTTAAGGGATTTTAATCATTTTCCAATTGAAATTATTCACATCATTTTAATTTTAAAGATTATCAATACTACAAAATTGATTAAACCCCAATAAGTATTTCCTAGTCGTCTTTCCAACTATACATACATATTGTGTGCATTTTATACAGTTACTTAGTACATCATGTACTTTGATAAACGTTTGCAAAATCGCTGCATAAATATCGTCGGACCCACGTAATCCTCGTGGCACGTGCACGAAATTTATGGCGGCGCTCGAATAAGAACGGTGTTCACGGTGCAACGCTTCAGTTAATGACCAAGTGATAATCTCGAGCTCATTAATTTGGTATCGACAACTGGAAGATTTTGGCAGATGAATACTTATGGCAGCGGTGTACATCATCTGCAACTTAAATGCGCACGCCACAAACGTTTTAGGATATGACCAAGCATGAAACGCGAGCAGGGATATTTATCTGGGCCTGTTCCGTGCGCCTTTCGTGTCGCGCTTTAATGCGCTCATTAAAAAACTCCATTCACGGCAGTTCTGGTCGCGTGTAATGTAAAGGGCCGCGATTTATTTAAAAACTCGCCGGATGAGTTCGATACATTGTTTTATTCTATTTTTCAGATCGTAAGTAACAGTTTTGTAGAAATGCATGAGTTCATTCTACTGTCATAAAAGGGGTCAAGAATTTTCTGATAAGAGATAATACTGGATATTTAATTATCAAGCAGTATTTCTAATCAGAATATGTAATCCTTAACACTAGATTGCCCAAGGAAGTCATTTTGACTGCTTTTGGGCAAATGTACAAATAATAATGCATAAATTACTTTTTTTCCCAAGTGAAGTAAATTTTTTTTATTGTTAACATTTACTAATAACTTGTTATATGACTGTAAATAATATAAAAAATATTAAAAATTAATTTTAGACAAATTTCTTTACACATTATTCTTTCACAATGCAGTCATTTTTACTGCTTTGGGCAATATAGGTATATACTAAGTTTCAATCTTTCTAGTGTTAATGCCATTTGTTGAATTTTATATAAAATAAAATTTATGCATCTGTAATGGAAAATATCGTAACCATGATATGTATTTTCTTTTCAGATACCATCTGATGAGCCACCAGCAAAGCTGTTGAGGATAGGGTAAGTGAAGACTCTCTTTTGCATTTCATACGTCCTTTCGTTTAATTTTGTATCAGCCAATTCCTTCCTACTCTAGTCAAGTATAGTGTCTACAAAAATATGAATTTGCATAAGCGCCCGCATTTCGCCGGCTCATTTCGAAACACGTTTTCCTTTCGAGCCACGGCAGATTCCTCGCTGAGAGGCTGAGAAGTGGTTTACTCGGCGCAGATGTTTGTTATCAGCACGGTAAAACGGGAGGCGCGGCGTAAATTGGATGCGCATCGCTTGAATACAAAGTAGCCAACTTGTTTCGGCCGTGTACCGCGTGACTGTCTCATTTGGTGTGTAAGTGAGGAAATTAATGCGCGTTAAAATGATTTATACGGCCGCCAATTAGGACAGAAAATGCGGGAGCATCGACGTAAATGATGCATCCCGTAATCTTTCCGAAGAGCTCGCTATCTCTCCTCGGCTTTTTTGATTTCGCGTTTTTCTGGTTTCTCGTTTCTGTGAAATCGTTCCAATTCGGTCCACGCATGCACGTGTGGGCGAAAGCTTTCAAATTGAAGAAAAAGTGCAAACAAACTAGAAATGCATTCGCGGTTCAAATTCAAGAACGGGTTGCCTCTTTCTGAATTTCTTAACACGCAATTCGTGATATGTATATCACAGTATAACACAAATGGATACTATTGGACGATTAATTTAACGATCAACCAAATAATAATTCGATTGAAAATGGTCGGCGTTGAATGTCAAAGAATAATACGATGCATGGTTCGTGATTAATAGTTGCAAGGATACTTAATTAAACCCATTTGCAACGAATTACTGAAAAATGGTTTCACATGAATAATTTTCGAGCCCTTTTGGCTGAGATTAATACCTGTACGGATAATAACACATTTTTCGTTTGGCGGACGAGCATGAAACCAACTTTGAAAAATTGGTTTTCTCCATAAAGAAGTCCGTGCGTTATAGGCAATTCCAAATTCGTAAAATTTTAAGTACTACCTTTGTAATTTATGCCGATACTATCGTCCCCCTTTTTTGCTCTGTCGTATGAGGAGCTTTACAGTGAATAATTGCGATTAGGTTAATTTCATCATAGTTAATTCGATACAATTTACTTGTAAATTCCTCTACGGATTAAGTAGTAATTATCGCCGGAGCAATCGCAGGATGCTGACTGAATAGTAAGAGGCACGGATGAACGGGCGTGTTCATTGCATCGCATGCTATTACAGGGCGCGTTCAGGAACGCGTGGTAGAAACGCGGTGACATGCGTTAGAGTCGACATCCGACCGAGACAATTTCCGGTTCGTGAAATCATCGGTTCTCTCGGTTTGGGCGCGTGCGATGCAATGAAAAGCCCTCGAGGTCACGGATTCGGCGACGCCACGCCTAGATTACGCGCTCAAACGTTTTACGTAACACGCGCTCCGTTTTAAATCGTGGACAATTGAACGGGTGAAAATGGAGCTCGTTATGTAGTCATCAAATCAATCAAAACCAGGTCATCCAATGAATACGAACATCGCGAGTTCAGCGACAATGTAACGTTTAATTACACGTCGTCGTTTAATAAGTTTATTAATAAAATGCAGTAGCTTTTGTAGCAAGCATGCTTTTGTAATGAACTGGATTATAGAAGAACTTTTAAAACAGGAACAAAAGACCACAAATCAATTTTATATTTAATTGTATTTTCTATCACGGAAAGCTTATGTTTATATGTATATATATATATTATACAACGAAAGCTCAGTGGTTCTTTCTTGCTCTTCGTGCTTGCCTGTTACATCTGAACGCAAGTCACTGAACAAACGTTTTTAAAACGGATTGTACTTGTTGACTTCGCTCTAGGTAGAAATAAACACAAGCATACAATTTCCATTACTGTACATCTTTAATTAAATGGCGTTGTGAAGTTACAACCCGATAATAAATTTTCAGTGTTACACCTGGCCATTAAATTAAATATATTTCTTGCATCCACATTAAAATTAAAAAATGGAAAGACACACCAGTTCTACTTCATTCAGCTTCAGAGATTTGTAGATTTTTCACAAAAGTAAGAAATTTATGTTTGCTGAAAGGAATAACCATCCAGGGTATCTATAGAGAAAACCGTGGAAAACGAATCAATATCACAGCGATAGCCCGTTTTGCGTCTATGATACCCTGCTATGACGTCGCGACGCTCGTCGACCGCAAGCTCGGAAATCTCGCAAGCTCTACAAGACATTTATCACGCTCTTTCATGAGATCCTAGTAGAACAACCAAGGTGGAAAGCTCCCCTAACTTTTGGTATGAGCAACACGGTGAATGCACCGCTGAACGAAAATTCCTATGGTATCGAAGAAAACGCTATTATTTGTTGGAAACTAGCTAAAAGTGATCAAAAAGGATTTTTTTGCAGCAGATCGTTTCGTTCCAAAAAGATGCACTTGGAAAAGTGGAATTGTAGTTCGCAGGCTTTTAAGGGAAATTATGTCCTTTCGTCTTTCTTAAAGAAGGAAAAATTTTATAAGGAAATTGAACGATCGTTGTTGGTTGGATCAGTAACAATAATATCCATTGTAGTGGATTTCTATGGAATTAAGTAGTAGATGTCAACGTAAGGGCCTACGTCTATTGTATACGAGAATATTTGTGTTTAGATAAGACGTCGCATAAGTTATTGACTTTCACTACTAGGGACGTAAAGATTCGTGCACAAGTAATGAAATATCTATCACATCGCTTACAGATATTGTAATTTAAGTTTAATGTTAATAGAAACCGATATGTTTCATCAATAAAATTCTCATTAATTCTTATCATTGTTTGAATATATTCTTCTTAAATGCATTTCTCTAATCAAGACAGTCTTGTATTTTATGTAATAAATCGTTATTTCTAATGCATTTATTCTATCACAATCCAATCGAATTTCCACTGAAAGCGCGATGTCTTCTATTCAGTCATATCCATTCGCTTAATGCGCACACGCAGTTACACACATGGGCGTTCCTATCTTCGACAACCCTCAGCGTCTCCCACCGCCAGCACCACTGCGCATGTAATGAAACTAAAATTAACCCCGGCGTCACGACGCCGACAGCCTCTTCATACATTCTGCTCGCCTGCTCGTATTCCTCGTCATAACGACGCTCGTCGCGACGCCCGTAGGAGAACGAGGATCCTTCCGATGGCTGTTGTTCTCCTGGCCGCGGAGAACGTCGCAGCGCGGCCTCTGACAACGTTTATCTGTTCCTCGGCCCTCGGTCGCTAACGAGCCTCCCGACTCCCGTCAGGGTGGCACAGGGTGGGAAAGCTCGATGGAAAGCTCAGCGAGCGGCGTGCAACCTCCATGCACCTTCTGCTGTCCTATTACGGTGGTACGTCAGACGACGTCTTCCGTTTGACGGGCAGCTCCGTCAGACGTTGTCGAGACTGACGTGGGCGTCGCGGTCGCGCTCGATTTATACTAGCCGGATAAAGCGTCGCGAGCCTAGGGCGCCGCTGAGCTTTCTCAGGGGCGCTTTCTCCGCGGGCTGCTTCTTCGCGAGCTTCTGACGAGCATCCTAGGGTGAACCTACAGAATCGATTCCGTACACCGATACTAAACGTCAGCTTCGTCTTTTGTTCTCGTTTCTCTATGTTTTTTTTATCTTGCTCAGGAGAGGGGTGCGAACCTGTTCGAACGTTATTGATCCGGGGATACTTTTTTGTTTTGGTAATTTTTTTGAAGCATCTGACGGGATATAGGGCTGTCGGGGAATGGGCGGTTGTGTGGTAGCGTGCGCGCTCGGGATGTCTCTGTTGGGAAATATTGATCTGGCTTTGTTACGATTGCGGCCTGGTTGATTGTATATGTATGTATGTATGCGCCCATGCATCCATGCACGCTGAATTTCATGCTGTGCCAAAGTGGTTTTAATAAATCATTTGCCGGGGAATGAAATGTTTAATGAAACGTTTGGGTAATGAGTTTATACGAGCAATTACAGCTGAAATTATAGTCTATGATGAATGAATAAATATGTACGGCTTACTCATTCTTTATTTAATCTCTTTTTTATATAGTTTATGATGTTGCGATTTGATTAATGCTCTTTCATGTTTCCAAACAACATTTAATCATTTTACCAGTTCACGTTGCAGACCAAATGTCTGTCCTGTACGTTGCTACTTCTACTTAAAGTGTAAGCTTCAGTGTACAATAGTACAGGTAGAAAAAACACACATTTTAAAAGTAATGGAGCATAATGTTCTTTTTATAATCCTGATATGTCATTTGTAATATCATGGAATGATGGTACAAAATATATCAACTGGCAATTGTATGTTAACGATGTTCTTTCTTGAAGTTGCTTGAACGAAGCTTGAATCAGGCATGTAAAGATTCACAATATTTAGGGAAACGTTCGGAGATAATCCGTACTCTCATAATAATCGAAGTTGTCCTGTATAACGCATTTCATCCTTGTATCAGATTCTGCTATCGAATCTTATTTTAGAAGTAATGTACAACATTATTAAGTCGTATTACGTAGTGTAACTCAATCCCTAATCATCCAACGAAAATGCAATTTTCACATATTGTCAGCAATGACAAAATATTTATATCAGCATATACGTATGCTCGTCCAATTTCGGAGGTTCTCCAAGGCAATTTTTTTACTCTATTTAGAGTTTACCCCCCTTAAGGAGATTAAGAATATTTGCCACAGACCCAATATATCATTCTCATTTATCGTTACTCATTGAAATCTAATCCGGGCCAAATATATTTCTTCGATGTCTGCTCTCCTGGTAGAGCGTCGCGACGCCTGAGGACTGGCGCCACAAGCCTCGTCGTCCACGTCGAGGACGAACGGTGCGGCGTCGCGACGCTCGTCGCCTCCGCGAGCTCCCACCCGTTTCTGTTAGCCGGCTCGCGAAACTCGTCGTGACCGAGCCGCGACAAGCGGTGAGCGACAGGTGGGCAGCTCTCGACGAGATCATCGACACGTCGACGCGACTTGAAAC